GGCCCCTCTTACTCAAGAAAACTGGAAGCCACGCCTCACAATTAACCAACTGATCAATGTATTGTGAGAGGCGCTCCATGCATAACATGAAGATCTACAGTGATAGAGGGTCACCCTGACGGATACCGCATAAGGCACAAATTCTTCAGTGGCCTCCCCATTCCATAATAACTACATAGAATCAGAACACACGCACTGCATGATAACTTTAACGAGGGGCTGTGGGAAACCAGTGTCCCGGAGGGTATCTTCAATAAAATCTCAACTAAGTCTATCATAAGTTTTTTAAAGGTCCACTTTGATCGTCATCCAACCGACTTTGCCAGTTTTACACCTCATGGAGTGAGTGACCTCCTAGGCCATAATGATATTGTCTAAAATACTCTGACCCTCCACCAAACTTGCATGTGTGTTGCTAATGAGGCTAGGCATAATGCTTTTGAGCTTGTTGACAATAAGCTTGGTGATAATTTTGTAGGAGACATTAAGGAAGCTAATAGGACGGAAATCCTTGATAGTAGTGGGCCTAGTCATCTTGGGGATCAAGGTTATTAAGGTCCTGTTAATGCCCTTCTCCAGCTCAACCCCCTGAAAAACATCCATCACCATCCCACAAATCGAGTCCCCCACAACCCCCTAGTGGTGCTGGAAAAAAGTCGCATTAAGGCCATTCGGTCCTGGGGCCTTGAGAGGTTTCATGGCAAACAAGGCCAAACGAACCTCGTCTTTAGTGATAGGGGCATTAAGTAGGTTAAGCATAGTTGTCATAAGGGGCGAAAACTTACCCCTAATCTGAAAGGAGAGCCCCCAATGTATCTCTGAAATAATGTTCTTTGAAGAAACTCGCAGCCATGTGTCTGAGATGACCTTCGTCGGAGCCCCAGTTTCCCTCAAGGTCTTGGAGCATAATAATTTTGTTACGTCAACGGCGAGCCAAGGTGCGAGCATGAAAATACTTCGTGTTCTTATCTCCAAAAGAAATAAACTTACACTACGATTTTTGCATCCAATATAATTCTTCCTGCATCAACACATCTTCAAGCTCTTTGCGGAGGACCATCTCTAAATTGATGAGATACTCAAAATGAGTTTGTTCTAGCTTTTTTTGGATACCAAAGATATGAGACAACAAACGTTTCTTCCTTCTGAAAATGTGACCAAAGACGGTAGTGTTCCAATCGTTAGTCTACTTGAAAAAGTGCTCAAGGGTGGCTTGGAAAGAGCAATCGCTCTGCCATCTGTTATGGACGAGCGTAGGGAAGTCGGGATGAGTAAGCCAAGTCGCAAGGAAACAAAAAGATTGGGGTTTATGGCTTTGCGTGTGGCTCACACTAGCATTAATAAAAAATGGCCTATGATCCAACTGAATTTTGGGAAGGTGTTGCACCAACATCTCGGGGAAGGTACTCAGTCATGTCATGTTGGCGAGAGTCCTACGAGATGTTGGGGGAAAGTGCCTCTACGCCAGGTGAAAGTAGGACCCATATAGTCCACTTAAGAGAGGTGTTATGGCTTATAAATTAGGAGAAATAAGATCACCCTTTACAACTTCTCCTAGCCCCACCCATCCTGTTCGAATTATCCCAGATCGCATTAAAGTCACAAGCAAACAACCAAGGGTCATCAATAGTTATACTAAGTTGGTTGAGAAAGTCTCATAAATGGCAGCGTTTCTGACCTTGGGGGCTCTCGTAGACCGTTGTAAACAATATCATACGGTCGTTCTTATTCCATTAGATCTTAGCGTGAATGAATTGACTATTATTAACCAATATATTGACTCGGTAAGGATAATGCTAGAGTAGTCAAATACCACCAGAGAACCCAAGAGCTTTCACTCATTGAGAGGAGTTAAAGCCCGTGTTACAAATAATCTGGTCAGCTTTATCCCCGGTGGTATGCAGCTCCATTAAGCACTCCCAGACATGTATTGTTGACTAAAACCCCAAAATATCTGGCCGAAATTGGAACTCACCGCTCCCTGACAATTCCATGTGAGAATTTTGTGTTCCATGGATAAATATGGGAGGAAGATAAGGCAACCAAGAAGCAAAACAAAAGGAATTGGGATAGAGGCAAAATCAGGGGTGGCCATATTAGATAGCATTGCTGATAGGCTCATCGAGCAAGCCAGTTTCAGCCTCTGCCTCATGCCAGTCCTGTGCCCCACCCAGAAGAGACGTGGCTGCGAGCTTCGACGCCTCTATAACCTCTTCGCGGTGCTTCTTCAATTTCAGGTCGCGTTAGGAGGCCTTATTGACCTTGATGCCCGACCGATGCTCATTTAGTGGCTGGGAAGCTTTCTGAAGGCTATTACTCGAGGAATGAGCATAAGAATTAACAATGGCAGCCGGTGCGACGATGTTGCCTTGCTCGACCCGTTCCTCTTCAGTTCGGTTCACAGAGTGCTTCTACTTATCGAGGATGGAGCTGATGTGGTGGATCATCACGTGTGGGCTAGGGCTAAACTGCAGGCCCATGTTATTCTCTTTAACTCGTCTTGCACCGGTCGAGTCAGCTTGGGCCACCACTTGTTGAGAGTTGGCTTGAATTAAGCTTGGGTTAGTCGTTGGCCTGTTATGTTAGTCCAAGTTTGGTATTGAGGGGGTAGGTTTTAATAGGCCTATTTTAGACTGGCTTGACTTAACACCGAGAAGTCCAACACCCCTTTTCTTTTGCCTGTATTTAATATTCTTCTCTTTTTCACCTCTTACTACACCTGCTTCCAATTCTTGAAAATTTGCCCCCGTTGAATCCGCATACAGGCCGTTGGAGTTAAGATTATCATCATTCATTTTAGCAATAAGATCAAATCTCAATCCAAAGCCATTTCTTACCTGATTCCCGGAAGACTCCTTGTTTCCAGGTAAGCTTCCTTTCCTGACTTCTTTTCTTCCCTAACGGGTCACTTGTATTCATGTGGTGCCATAAGACCACTGGTCGTATCTGTTCCCCCTTCCCCTTCCACCAGGGCATCCTTGGCCATCCTAAGGCAGTGTTCTCGAAGGTGGCCGTAACACCCACATTCAAAGTAGATAATAGGTAATCCTTCATGCTCAACCCTTTGCAAGTGTCCTTCGATCATAATTTTAGAAATTAGTTGTTTTATGAGGTCCACTAAAACGGAAAGCCTGGCAAACTTTTCGCTCTCAGTGATTTTCGTGTTATAATCAATGCTCACAACCGTTTAGATAACCTTAGCAATCGCCTGCAAAATGCTTTTGTGGTAATATTGGATTAGTAGTCCAGGAAACCGAACCCAGGCCACCACCGATGCCATTCGATCCTCGTCCACCGAGAATGACGACATCCATGGTTGTATTGTCAGATAGTGTCTGTAGATGACCCAAGAATCATCGGTTATAGTGTGCGTGAAGTCATCCGCATCGCTAAATTAATGAGGTAGTAATTATTCTCCAAGTCCACCAATTTGAAGGTCCTTGTCGACTGCTAGAGACTTTAAAGGCGGCCAAGGAAGGGGTTGTATCTGATTGCTCTGCCCAATAACCTTATGATCACAAAGTTTTTCATGGACTGAGATAGGTAGTTGTGAACCCTATCTGGGAAAGAGACAGTGAGGAAGTCTCCACTCGACACGAACACTACATCCTCCTCCTGAATTTCAAAGTCTTATCTTTTCTGTTCCTGGGCTTTTGTGTTAGTGAGCTTGTCCTTGAATGATACTATATCTTATCCCCAAGCTTAGAATTGCCTTACTCTGTTTAGAGCAGTGTCCTCATAGTCGCCCTCCTCAGATGTTGTCAAGTCCATGTCGCTTATGTAACGGCCCCGGAAAATATTAAAATGAAATGAGTATTTAAATATATCGAATGCGGAAGCGAGATCAAAATTTCAGTTAACATCCCTTACACGAAAAACCAAACAAACGTACTTAAAATATAAAAGGTTAAACTAACTAAGAAAGAAAACTCGAAAATAAACTATGCGTATGACTACAGAGTCTCTAGGCATCCCCTTCGTCGTCCTCCTGCGGAACGGGCTCGGGAACCATGTCTTCCTGATCTGAAATGGTTAATTAAGGAGTGAGCTACACTAGCCCAGTAAGAACATCACGATATCTCACCGTCACGGAGATAAAGGTGGGTAGAAAACCACAAAAAGACCAATGGAGCATAATTTACAACAAAACCTTTTATCAATAATAAAACTTTTACCATCCACTTACCTTGGTGGAATTTATGAAAACATATGAGAAAAAACAATAACATTATCATAATCATTGAATAATCTAAGCTGTAAAACATAACACTTATCACGCCTCTTGTAATTCAATCATTGTACACATATCTTTTTTTTTCATTTACCAGCCTACTAGTATCCGTGGGGTCCATAGGGGTTCCGCTACCCGTTAACCTTTAACATTCATAATCAGTTTCCAGGGCCGTCCCCATACCCCGTCCGGTATGGGCGCCAAACCCATGAACCTCAATACCCCGTCCGGTATGAGGGTGAAACGGGCCGTCCCCATACCCCGTCCGGTATGGGCGCCAAAACCATAAACCTCAATACCCCGTCCGGTATGAGGGTGAAACGGGCCGTCCCCATACCCCGTCCGGTATGGGCGCCAAAACCATAAGATCTCCATACCCCGTCCGGCATGTGAGACCACAATCCCGGTAGGGTTCCCTACGGACCCGGTCCGTCCACCATCTCCCAGGATATCTAGTCAGGCTGACCCCCATAATACAATTATCAGTTTACACAATTTTTCATTTTTCCTTTTCCTCAATCAGCATCATCAATTCACATTTAAACAAGCAAATCGTAATTCATACCAAACAGACAACATACAGTATCAGTTTTTCAGTCATTCAACCCATAATTAATAAAAACGTAGTACATGCACACAAATCTGTAAAATGAACACTTCAAACCTCATTTTGCATTTAAAGCTGTAAACAGGCCAAATAACAGTAAATCATCAATCACACTAGACTCGGGCTCCATTAGCAACCTTAAGCAATTTCACACATGCGTTAATTCAAGAAATACCGTTTTATCATTTTGAACTTTAATACCGTGATAGGAAATAGGGTGAGGGGTCCTTACTTGTTTTCGGGATCCGAATACGATTCACAGTGCGCCTGCAGGCCGTCCCTAATTTTTCCTGAATTTTTTCCGGGGAACTGAAACACACTAACAGTACCTGCACGTGTTCCAAAAAAAATCCAAATTAGGCCCAGGGCCTCTTTCGGCCCAAATCGCAACTCCGGCACGGCGGCTCCGCCGTGCTCCGGCGACGGCGCCGCCGCTGGCGGCGGCGAGTCGCCTCGGGTTGACTGTTTTCGGCCGAATTCGGCCACTCTCGCATTGGTCCTTGTCAGAAAACAACCCTAGGGCCCTCGGGGGGCCAAAAAATCACGGAAAAAACGGAGCTTACCGGCGGCGGCGCTCTCGGGTGCAGCGGCTCTCCGGCGAGGTTCGTGTTTTGGTGATTCAGCTCCGGTCAACCTGTAGAGAAAAGAATGGTGATCACGGTGATATAAAAATTGCATCGAACGGAGGCCGGGAAGGGCCTCGTCGGAGGCAAAAACCGAGAGGGGGCGCGGCGGCGCCGCTGGGCTTCGGCCGCGTATTCCGGCCGTTTGGCCGGGATTTCGGCTTCGATTTGGCCATAGGAGGAATCAGTGGGGAAAAACGAGTCGGGGGTATGAAATTTACCTCGATCGGCGGTCGGAAATTTCCCCGGTGCGGCGGCGAGTGGCGGCGAGTGGCGGCGGTCGGCCTCTGGTCGTCTTCTCCGGCGAGCGGCTGGCGGCTAGGGTTTGTGGTCTGGTGTGGGGGTTCTATTTATAACCCCTTGCCTTTTGATCACAGCCGTTCATTTCGTTTTAATCTGGGCCGTTCGTTTTTGATTGAATCTGGGCCGTCCGTGCGATTGAATCTGGGCCATCCGATCGCGTGATTGATCTGGGCCGTCGGATCGCACCCACGCGGATCGCCAACGTGGCTCCTTTCGGAGTGACGCGATCTTGCCACGTGGCAGGCCCTGGTTGGCCGGGACTGCTGACGTGGCTGCTGACGCGGCTGCTGACGTGGCCCCCCCCTTTTTTTTTTTTTTTTTCTTTTTTTTTTTTTTTTCCCTCCTCCTTTCCGGGTGCTACAACTCTCCCCCCCATAAAGAAATTTGGTCCCCAAATTTGCCTCATTACTCTTGATCAAACAGATGAGGATATTGGGCCCTAAATTCTGATTCCAGCTCCCAAGTCGCCTCCCTAGGCGTGTGGTTCTGCCACAAGACTTTTACAAATGATATTTCCCGGTTACGGAGTATTCTGCTTTCTCGGTCCGTGATACTGACCGGTACTTCTTCATAAGA